CAAAAAATAAACTACAAACAATGCAAGTATCCGTTAACAAAATAACATCTACAACTCCCAAAACTTGCAAATATCTATCGAATAAATTGTGGCAAAAAGGAGGCTAAACATAACCAAAATAATTAAACTTGCGAAAAGGATTTAAACAATTAAATATGTAAAAAATAAAGTAAACTTAAACAATTAAACCTACAGAAATGGAGGCTTATCATAACCAAAATATTTAACTTTTTTCCTCATCTTGGAACTCTTGGTGATAATTTACAAATTTCAGTTTTTTTTCGATTCGATTCGATTTCCATAGTCCAAAACGGAAAGCGGAACAATTTAGGTACGGTCGGCTGGATTTTTTGCATTCGGTTATTGTTCTTTCAGTTTGGTTTGTTTTTTGGCACAATTCAATCGATTTCGGTTCGATTTTCGGTTTTTAATTTTTCCGACCCACCGCACCCCTAATCAAAACATACTCTGACCCTTGTCACCGAAATAGGAGTGTCATTTTTTATTTCAAAATAGGACATAAGTTAATTTAAAATAAAAAAAATCAAGAGTTATATATATAAATACACACACACACACGCACACACACACACACACATATAGCGAGTATATAGTGCACTCCCTCCGTCCGGAAATATTCTTCCCACTTTCCTTTTTGGTCCGTCCGGAAATATTCTTCCCATTTCCTTTTTTAGTATACTTTTTAAGGATAAATATCAATAATACCCTTCTATTTTATCACAAATCTATTTTTTAGTACTTTTTTAATAATAAAAGGAGATTTAAAAGTTTATAGTATGCACATTTTTGAAAATTTTGTATTTTTTTTATTCCTTAATAAGCGTGCCAAGTCAACACGGGAAGAATATTTCCGGAGGGAGGGAGTATTAAATAGGAGATGCATGGCGAATTAATGGTGAAGAGGTCAAGAGATGGGCGTATTTTCAACACTGAGTATATTCAGAACTATTCTAACCAAATCCCAAATCTATTCTCCCTTAGCTTCTCTGAACCATCCCATTATCCGATCCGATCCGATCCGGAGTTGTTTTTAATTTTCATCCGCCGCCTCCTTTTTCTATCTCTTTTGTATGCAGCAAATCTTTCGTAAAGAACAATATTTCATTCCTCTCGATCTATTCATAAATAAAAAAATCAAATGAAATTAATTAATAAAAAGTGTATTGAATGCGTCATTATTTTTCAAGTAAATGTTCACCATTTAAACATTATTTTTTTCTTCTAGACATTATTAAGTGCTATTTAGGTAATAAAAAAATTAAGTCTTACATTGGAAAATGACTAATATTTTAAGCTTATTTAGTGCAAATATTTCTAATATATTTGTTGCCTTCAGCCTCTTTTTTCAACTTTCTTGATTCCAAAATCGTTTCTTTTTCTTCTTATGCATAATATATGTTCACCATGACTTAATGATGGACTTGAGATGAGTAATGACAAATTAAATGAGGATTAGTGATATGTATCATCCAATTAGTCAAACATAAGGATAGGCATGTGGTCCATTGGTTCCCTCCCCCCCATCCGATCCCATATTCTCATCCCCACTTTCCACTACAGATCCAATGTAATATCACTCATTAATATTATGCCTATTAGAGCACTGGGTATACTCCTCACGTCCACCGGCGTTAGGGGGCGTTTAACGCCCCGGGGGCATGAAACACCGCCCCCGCCGGCGTTAAAGGGGCGTGAGGAGCCCTGCGTCATTCGTTTGACGCGGCGTGAATTGCTCGGCTCCCTCCCCTAACGGCTTTTTTAGCCGTTGCATGGCATATTTAAAAAAAAAAAAAATTCCTATAAATTCAACCCTCCCCAATTAATCTCTCACACCTTCTCTTCAATCTCTTCTTCTTTCTTATTTTTAAATTTCAAAATTCAAACCCCCCCTCCCAATTTTCAACATGAATCCTTCCGGCTCCGGCTTCTTTCCCGACGATCTCCCGCCCGTCGACGCCGCGATGTGGTATTACCAAGAGTTGGGCGATCGACCGCCGATGTGGCAACAACTCAACAATCCCGACGGCGGATCGTTCCGGAAAAGATCCACCGTCGACGCCGAGGTTGAGGTCGACGAGACTATCGGTTCTAGCAATCAAATCCCTCCCTTCAACGTTGCGGATTCCGATGACGAGGACCTCATTCCACGGCCGATCGGAAGAAAGAAGGCAAAATCCATTGCCTCGGGTTCGGGAGGATCCGCCTCTGTTTCCGCTTTTCCCCTGCGACGAAATCGGCCGGGCAATGATTGAACAACTTCGGGCGTTCAATCTCCAAGAACAAGAGAGGTTGAAGGTAAAGGAGAAGGAGTTGAAGCTAAAGCAGCAGGAGGCTGAGATGAAAGTCATGCAAACCGACCCCGGGACGTTGTCGGAGTTTGGACGAATGATCTATGAGCAAAGAATGAGAGAGATCAAGGAGAAATATAATTTACCTTAGTTTTGTTTATTAATGTATCGTTTTTTAAAATTATTGACGCTTTTTTTATTTAATGAATGTATTTTTTTATTATTCGTGTTTCAATTTAATTAAATAATAAATTAATTACATTTTATTAATTTAATTTTAGAAGATGTATATTTAAAAATGTAAAAAATGAAGGTTTGAAGCCCAGTTTTGAAGCCCCGGGGCTTCAAACCCATTTCTAGTGAATTTTGGGTGTAAGTTAAAGCTGACGTGGCAGAGAGAGAAAGTTTGAAGCCCCGATTTGAAGCCCCAGGGCTTCATAACCATTACCAGTGCTCTTACTTATATACTCTATCCGTTCCGCAAAATGTTTCTTGTTTTGATTTTTAAAAAAATTTAAAATGAGTATATTTTAGTATTGACTTTTTAAAAATATCCTTGGATGTGATAGGTAAAAGTAGATGTAATGAGTAGATTAATAGTGAAAAAGTTTGATGTGATAGGTAAGTTAAGAATTAGTGAGGTAAAAATAACTTTTTAATAGAAATGAGTATTTTTTTAAAACGAATTAAAAAAGAAAGGAAAAAGATTTTGTATGATGGAGGGATTAAAGTACTCCATCCCTTCTCAAAAACAGTTGTCATCTTGACTTTTGACAAATTAAAAATGTTAATAGTCGAATGTGATGAGTAGATTAGTCGTAATTAAAAAAAGATGCAATAGATTGAGTAGAATTTAGTAGGATAAAAAATAGTTTTTTAATGAAAGTAAAAGTGTTTTATTAGATAAGTGAAAAGTAAATTTGAAATTGTTTAATGAAACAAGAGGAAATATTAGTTTCTTGATGTACTTCAAAAGTTTTGGGCGAACCACATAAACTTTTTTTTATGTCTACTGTGTTTGTTGAAGTATTGGCCCAGTACATCCAAAGACCCAAATAACATCCAGCCCAATAACTCAATGAGTGGAGGGATATTAGTGAGGTTATCGAGATGGATCGAAGCAGGTAAATCATTATCATTTAGTAGAGTTCATTATCCTTTATTTCATGCATTTAGTTCATGCATGAAGTAAAATTTGAACGAGGAGGAGTTCATTATATTTTCACAGAATCATTTAGTAAAGGATAATGAACTTCACCTCAAATGAGTAAAGGATATTGAACTCTACCTCAAATAGTAAAACTCGAATTAGTTAGTTCATTTAGTAAGGATGATGAACTCCACCTCAAATAGTAAAGCTCAAATTAGCTAGGCCCCGTTTGGTACACGAAATTCAAACTATGAAATTGGAATTAAGGACTTCAATTTTAATTTTGATGTTTAGTAACACAAAAATTATGTGAATTTGGAATTGACAGTGTAAAAAATGAATTGGAATTGATGAATTCAATTCTATGGAATTGAATCACATGGAATTTCAATTTCAATTCAATTCTAATTCCATTAATTCCGTATACCAAACGGACCCTTAGTTCATTTAGTAAGGATGATGAACTCCACCTCAAATAGTAAAGCTCATTTAGTAAAAGATACTACCTCCGTCCCATTTTATAATGCCTGTTTCGGTTTACGATGTTTGACTGAAATTATTTTTTCAAACCATTTTATATGACAAATGCTATAAAATTAAAAAATAAAAATTACATATTAAAAAACTACATCAAAAGATCTACAAAACTAGTAGTGACAATAATATTTTATTTTATCAAATTGCTAATGAAAATAGAGAAAGAAAGTGAATGAAGTTTGACCCTGTGAATAATAAACAGACATTATAATTTGGGACGGAGGGAGTAATGAATTGCACCTCAAATAGTAAAGCTCAAAAAATAAAGCTCATTTAATAAAGAATAATGAACTCCACCTCAAATACTAACGGTATGTTTTAGTCCAGCTCAAATCAAATATTTTAAATTCGATTCGCGATTTGTTTTAGTCCTATTTGTAAATTTCTCAAACATAACTGTATGTAGGGATGTAAACAAATCAAATATTTTAAATTCGATTCGCGTTTTGTATTCGAATATGATGATTTGAATTCGCGTTATTCAAATACAAATTCAAATATTATTTTTGATTCGAATATTAATCAAATACAAATACAAATAGGGATATATTCGATTCGTATGATATTCGAATATTCGAATATTCAAGCAAAGTAATATAGTATAAAGTGTATTTAAAATACTAAGAATTCAATAAATTAACGTAACACGAAAATCTAAAGCATATGATTTTTAATAGTTATATTTTATAAAATATAATTTGTGTAAGATGCAAATGTATTAATGTTTTTATATACGGAATATAGTATAGTATAAAGAGTATCGTAAGTTAAATTACAAATTGATGTTGGTCCATCATATAAATTACATTGTATGATTATTCAAAATTCGTTTATGATTCGATAACTATTCGAATATTAATCAAATACTTATTCAAATTTTATTTTGAATTCGTCTTATATTCGAATTCGGATTCGTATTCGAAAAAATTAAATAAATACAAATTCAAATATATCGGTATTCGCTTCGATTCAGTTCGTTTATATCCCTAGTAACTAATACAGGGAGTAGCTAGCAGAATGCATTGTTGAACGAACATCCTTTTCGTATTTCCCCACGGGTTAAAACCGTCAAAATCATATTTTGATGAGTTCAATGGATACAGCTCCACTGGGGATATAGTTCTGAGTTCCGAGGCGAGCTAACAACCCCCGGTCTTCGCCGTTTACTTTTCCGACCAAATGGCCTCGGGAAGATGGAACCCGGTACTGGCCGCGGTGGTTGTAATTGCGTTGCTCTGCTCCGCTGCAGTGGCTGAACAGCGGAGGCGGCGGCTGAGATTCGATTCCAACAACGGGGAGTTCCGGATACTTCAGGTGGCGGACATGCACTACGCCGGCGGCGAAGCAACTTCTTGCGAGGACATTCTGCCGCAGCAGGTCGCCTCCTGCTCCGATCTCAACACCACCGCCTTCATCCGCCGCATGATTCTTGCCGAGAAGCCCCACCTCATCGTTTTTACAGGTACCCTCTCCCTTTCTTTTGATCCTCTTGCCCCGACCCGTCGGCGGGTCTGCCGGAGCATCAAGAAAATCAAAAGCAGGCCCGACGGATAACTAGGTTACCACAATTTTTTTCCTGGCGGACGGGGACGTAGTTTCCATTGCTGGGCAGCTCAGCTGTTACAGACATATAGTACAAATACTGATAAATGCTGCCTCTCCATAAAGGAATACATTTTATAAGCCAATATTCGTTGCCAATTTGGTAAAAATTGATTCTTTTTGTATGTTCTTATAGCCTTATTGGTGATGGTGTAATTAAGAACAACCTCATTGAGAATTTGGTAAAGTTTAAGAACAACCCCACAGATAAACCAAGATTCATTGCCAATTTGATAATGCTTGATTCTTTTTCCTTAATGTCCATATACATATACAAAATGGTGTAGTTAAGATTTAAGAGTAACCCATTCTTTGTACATGCATTTGATAAGCCAATTGACAATTTCATAAAGTTTCTGTTTTTGATGTGTGCCCAGGGGATAACATATTTGGGTTTGATGCGACCGATGCTGCAGAATCTATGAATGCTGCATTTGCGCCTGCTGTATCTTCAAACATTCCCTGGGCTGCTATCTTGGGCAACCATGATCAAGAATCCACACTCTCAAGGGAAGGAGTGATGAAACATATTGTTGGGATGAAGAACACTTTGTCTCAGGTGAATCCTACTGAGCTTCATGATGATGAGGATATTGACGGTTTCGGAAATTACAATCTGGAGGTTCTTGGGGTTAAGGGCTCAGAGCTGGCTAATAAATCGGTTCTCAACCTGTTCTTCCTCGATAGCGGGGACTATTCAACTGTCCCTTCCATTCCAGGATATGGTTGGATTAAGCCTTCACAACAAGCTTGGTTTCAACGTGCTTCTCGTAAACTTCAGGTAGTAAAACTGCATTTTTTGTTGGTTTTTGTGTGTGTGTGTGTGTTAAGAATGTCCCTCTACATTTTTTTCATTTGTGACTTTCATGTGAAATATTAGTATAATGTTATTGCTTTTACTAGATAATTAGTTGAATTTGTTAAGAAGGTTGAGTCTAAGTCAACCCAAAAAGTATTAAGAGGTACATATCTTGGAGAAACACTTATTTCAAGAGATTTATTCATATTTAGTCAACGTTGAGACTTTGAGTCCCTTAATAAGACCATGCGTAGTGGTTCAAGTCCTTTGGGGGCGTTTTTCGCCATGTGGATGCCATGTCAACAGTGTCAATTTGAGGACATAAGGTGTGTAGTGGTTCCTAAACATTTTAAGCCCCCTTCAATGATTAACCAATGATTAAACATTTTTTACTCATCTATTTTAATAAGAAAAATGAAACTTTAAAAAACAATTAACCAAGACAATAAAATTCATTAAAATTTTAGGATGTGCATACGGAGTACTTAACTAAACATTTCATTTAAATTTTAAAAAAGTAAATAGCTACCAGTAATAAAAATAAAATATTTCATTCGTCACCATCTAGACCATATTTTTTCTTGATTTGTTCATGCAATTTCAAGGTTAGGTCATGCTGCGGTCCTGAAGCGGTGAGGATGGGTTTTGACAAAATCTCAAGATCAATAGCCATTTTTTATCCTTTCTTAGTTGAACACGTTCTTGTCAATCCGTTTCTTGCTTTTTAAACATTGTTTTTCGATGCCGATCAACGTTTCTAATCCTTGATTCATTTCAAGAAATTGTTCATTGTAGTCGACACCTGACGACTACATCATTCGTTTTTGTGTTCCTCCACCACTCCTCCTCCCGGCCAGACGTGCTGGTTCATCATATCTCGGTTCTTCCTCTTCGGCGTACTCGTCTGCAGTCTCGTTCAAGTCGATATTAACCCGGGCATCGGAAGATTGACTCAAGTATTGGGTGGACGGTGATGGTTTCGACTTCTTAGATGATCGAGTATTCGATAGTGGGACAAGATGCCACTTTGAACTATTCCTTAAAAGATCCCAAGGTTTAATGTAGCCGAACGGCCCGTTCTTTGCTTGGAATTCAACCAAAGCTTCCTTTTGGATGTGAGCATCGTCTTGCCCACTCCCCCCGTTAGTCTTCATCCGGTTGTAGATGTTATTGTATTCTGTTACTTTCACCCGCATATCCCTCCACTTGCTGGTTATTTGATCTGGAGTACGGTAGTTGTCTGGTTTACCGATTTGTGTAAAAAACTTTGCTCGAATTTTGAACCAAAAGTCGTTGTTACCTTGATAGTTTGCTAAAGAATATAAAAAACACTGAAAATTAAATTGTTAGTAAAGAATAAATTATACCCACTATTGCCTAAAAAAAACCCACTACAAGCAATCGAATATCACGGAGTACAATGTTACTCCATTAAACAATAAAAAATACAACTATTACGAAACAATTTTAGTGATGGAAAATAAAAATAGAAATGCTTAAAAAAACTTATTTACCAATGTTAGGGTCCTTAGATACGTCGAGCCAAGCACGAGCCAAAGCGTATTCTTCGTTTCTTGACCACGTCGTATGTGTTTTCTTTATCTTTGGCTCATCGAGATTTTTTTTCTTGTGTGACCGTTTTTGAGGTTGTGACGGTCCCACTTTGTCCGGTTGCGCCTCAGGCACCATCTCCGGTTGTGACTCGGGAACACTTGCAGATTGTTGCATTTGAACTTGTTGTGGAAAACCCATGCCGTTTCTTTGAAAACCGAATGCATTCATCGGCATGTTTTGTATCATGTTAAAAAGAGTATGATTTGAAACGTCGGCATTCTCCAAAAAAATCCAGACTAATTGGATAATTTAGCGGCATTTGAGTGTTTGGTGAGGTGGTGGCGTTTGGACGAGTTGGGACTTGTCGGGGTGCTTCAAAATTGAGGTTGTATGGATTTCCATATGGATGTATCTTGATGTATTTTTTGTGTAGAGAATGGAAGTGTATGAGAGTAGAAAATGTGTATAGGAATTGTATTATAAAATGGTGAGATTAATGAGTTTAAATAAGAAAAAAATAAGTAAAAAAATGATGTTTTTTTAATTTGTTGGCTTGGCCATTGCAACCGTAGTCATGACTCTTGGGATTGATAAATTACTCTCGTGATACATTTCACTAGCCGTCCTATTTTTTCAAACTTAAAGCCATAAGGGATGGTGCATGCATATAGCAAGTGGCGTGGATGGGCATAAAACGCCTGGTCTAAACCTTATTGGAGGTGAGCTCTTTTGTTGGTTTAGTTAGACACTCACCAAACCTTATTCTTAACATGGTGGTGTATGAGTCTGAGTCCTAGCAATCATATGAGCCCCATAAAAAAATATGCACCAACTATATGAAGGTTGTGTGTCCCTAAGGGTGTGTTTAACTGAGTTTGTTGTTAATGGCAATGCAATGTTTCTTGTAAACACAGCAAGATTATAGGAGCGCACCGGCTGCTCAGAAGACTCACGCACCAAGCCTGGTATACTTTCACATCCCATTGCCTGAATATGCAACCTTCGACTCAACAAACTTCACCGGCGTAAGGCAGGAAGGCATTAGTTCTGCCTCTGTGAACTCTGGTTTCTTCACAACAATGGTGGAAACGGGAGATGTTAAGGCGGTTTTCGCCGGGCACGATCACATCAATGATTTCTGTGGGGAGTTGCTGGGGATAAACCTGTGTTACGCTGGTGGGTTCGGGTATCATGCTTATGGGAAAGCTGGATGGGCAAGGAGGGCAAGAATGGTATTAGCAACTTTGGAGAAGACGGAGAAAGGAGTGTGGGGAGATGTAAAATCCATCAAGACGTGGAAGCGTTTGGATGATAAAAACCTTACTGCAATCGATGCCCGTGTGCTTTGGAGCAAAAGATCTGTAGGTAAGCGTTGTCTTGTTAACATTCTCTTGGAAAAGAAAGAAAATTGTGTGAGATCGGAGTTTCAGTTTTGCTCGGTTTTTAATTCCTAATAACTCGGATCGTGGTCCTTGCAGGGTCGCGCAGGAAGAAGATTGGTCGGCGGAGAATGTGAATGCACAAATATCTGATGATATATATATATACATACATATAGACAGAAATCCTGCAAATGGCAGCTGAGAATGGTATTAACTAAAAACTGAGTACACTTAAGTTTAAGTTAAGCATTTATGTCGAATATATGTGCATAAATCCAACGGTTCTTTTGACACTCGTTTTGGGTCTCCCAGTATGAACTTCGGAATCTCGTTTGAAATCGGGTCCTACCCCCAACCCAACCTCCAGCCCCCCTGCCCCTACCTCATCCCCTAGCATTTCGGCGAAATGAAGCATTTTGGTGAAATGCTAGGGTGGGGGTTAGACTTGTGGGGTGGTTTAGGGGCGTAGGACCCCCCTGTTATCGGAGAACCGTAGGATCGTGGTGTCATATCATGACACTCATTTTGTGAATGTCATATTAATATGGTAAACTTGAGGCTTGTCAGTGTGGAAAGACATGGTATGATATCCTCATTGTGTTTTGAGATTTGAAATGGGCCATGCTGTTGGGCCTCAATGATGGTTTTTGGGCTGGTAGAATCCATTATGCCATCGTTTAACATAATCATTATTCCTGAATAGCATTATTTCCCAACCTTTTCTGTTAGAGATAAAAGAAGGAAGCAGGATGGAAGAAGGAAAGTGTTAGAGACAGAAGAAGGAAGCGAGATTGAAGAAGGAAACCGAATCCCTTTGAGATTGGGTTTAGTATCTTTCCTAGTTGGATTAGGTTTAGTATTTAGTATCTTTCCTAGTTTGTTTAATTCTTATTTTAGTAGGAATAGAAATTTCTTTGTTTACTTTAGCCTCTTCCTATATAGAGAGGGTTGGATATTTGTATTTAGAATAAGTTTCACAAGACAATTCAGTATACAGAGAATTTCCTCCCAAATAATTCTTTCATGGTATCGGAGCAAGTTTTGAATTCTTGAGACTTCAAACTTCCGCGGCCTAAGAGGCCGTAGTTCATGAAAGAATTATTTGGGAGGAAATTCTCTGTATACTGAATTGTCTTGTGAAACTTATTCTAAATACAAATATCCAACCCTCTTTATATAGGAAGAGGCTAAAGTAAACAAGGAAATTTCTATTCCTACTAAAATAAGAATTAAACAAACTAGGAAAGATACTAAATACTAAACCTAATCCAACTAGGAAAGATACTAAACCCAATCTCAAAGGGATTCGGTTTCCTTCTTCAATCTCGCTTCCTTCTTCTGTCTCTAACACTTTCCTTCTTCCATCCTGCTTCCTTCTTTTATCTCTAACATTTTCGAAACCATTAATCTAAAAAGACTTCAAAAAGTATTTTTAAAAAAATTGTGAAGGAGACTTGTTATTCCTCGGCATCATCGTAAAATAAATAAAATAAAATAAAAGCAAACAATTTCAGGGCCATTTCAGGGCCAATTGTCTATTATGTCCAGAATAAAGTGTTTAAATTTATGATGACAAGAAGAAAGCGAAGCTTCTTAATTATTCTCTAAATGTATTTTACACTAATAAAGTTATTAAAAGAATAAAAACTTTATACTCTTGACGACTTATGGCAATGGGGCGACTTGACTTTTGATGTCTTTTTTAGCGTTTATTTTCTAATAATGGATTAAAGACATTTCATTTTTGAAATTCTAAATAAGAGATAATGATATACACACATTTTGAATTTATGTTGATGTTGTATTATTGCATCAAGTGGTCGAATGAAATGTTGAAATTCTTTTGTGAAAAGTCAAATGGGAAGAACATTTTCAGACGGAGGGAGTATGTTTTTGGACTTGATTGAGATGCGTTTTAATTGGTACAATTGAAGTGAAGTAACGTCCTCTAAAATTTTGGATTTCCAAATTTTCTTAGTCCTCTCGTTAGATAGATAATTTATTTTGATTGTTTGTCAACAATAATCATGGCAAAAACATTGTTTTTATTTGTCAACAATCGTTATAGTCAAAAGAAAAAAAGGCTTCGTTTTGCTTGATTTTCAACAAGTTAAGTGATCTAATCTAAACTAAAAAGACATTTTTTACGAGGTCAACAATTTTGATGAGGATCTAACCCGTGCATAAAAATGGTGGAACGCTCACCTTGGGCGTCCTCACACTTTGACCTGATAGGATTGTAAATGTTAAACCATGGTATAATCTTTGCCGCCTCTTATGCCTTTTTGAAATACAATCTTTTCTCATTTTTCGCATGGGGGCCGGCATGTAAATGATTTTTTAGAGTGTGGCGTACTCGGGATAGATGTCATCGACAAGATAATATCTATATTTGTAATAAGAGACATTACAAATAAAAGAAAACAAGTGTGCAACGCCATTATAAATATCATCGAACAGCAGAGATTGATCGATGAACTTGATATTGTTACACGATCTTGCAACGCCAAAGTACGCATGTCATATCCAAAGACCATTCGAAGTGACTAATTCAAACAGAGTCGGTCTCGAGAACTCTATGGCCCAGTATGAGACCACAAAAAAAATCCTCAATCACGACAAATCAAATAATACTCTGCATCAAGTATAAACTTATTTTATGAATTGGTGCTTTATTATTCTTTTTTTTCAAAACATTACATCACCAATCACCGAATAAATAAAGAGAAGAGTAATAATACTAGGTTCACAAATATAGTGGTTACAAATTTCACAAATCTACTATTTATGATTAAAGTTCTTTTTTTAAAATTGTTTTAGACTATTTGATTTTTTTTTATTGAAATTTACAAATAGTAAGTTTGTGAAGTTTGTGACTATTATGTTTGTAAACCAATGTACTGGGCAGTTGGTAATTTCCTTTTTTATTTTTAAGATGAGAGTAATTAATGCTTTAAAAACTGCTTAAATTTCATAAATTCCGCAATCCCACTAATCTCGCTACGGGCGCTGACTTATTTTCCCCGGCCACGCGCCACCCGTTCCGCCGAGACGGGCGGAGCATTCCTTCTTATGTGTCGGAACAAGCAACAGAAATGTGTCAACACACCGCCATGTCTCCTCCTCTTCTAATCCTTTCTCTCTTCTCTCTCATTTCTTTTTCTTCTTCTATCTCACTTCCTTTCACTCAGCTCTCTCCTCCGTCTACAAGTAAGTGTAATTTGTACTTGCAGGCGAGCGGCGCGTGAGTTCTTTGACTAACCAATTAACTGAATTTGTTTTTCCAGATTTTAGTTTGCATATAGACTGCGGCGGTCACGCGGATTCCACCGATGCATTCAACACCACGTGGCTCGCCGACCGCTACTACACCGGCGGCGCCACCGCCATGGTGTCGGAGCCGCTCAAGTTCAAGCACCAGCACGAGAAGACCCTGCGCTACTTCCCGATATCCGCCGGGAAGAAGAACTGTTACGTCATCCCTATCCCCGACGGGAAGTACCTCCTCCGCACTTTCACGGTGTACGACAACTTCGACGGGAAGTCACACTCCCCGTCCTTCGATGTTTCCGTTGAGGGTACCTTGGTCTTTTCCTGGCGTTCCCCGTGGGACGATTACATTTCCAGGACCGGAGCCTATGCGGATCTGTTCTTCACCGTCGTCGATCGGGAGGCGGATATCTGTTTCTACAGTATTGCCACTGATTCTCCCGTCATTGCCTCGCTTGAGCTGACCCGAGTCGACCCGGCGTCGTATTCAGTCAACGATACCGAAATTCAGCCCTCATTGAACACATCTGTACTGGTGAATTATGGTAGGTTTTCGAGCGGGTCGGGAAAGTGGGGACCCGGATTCAGCAATGACACTGATGTGTTCGGCCGGTCCTGGCAATCAGACAGGGATTTCCGGTCTCCGGCTACAAAGAAGGGAAGTATTAAGGCCATTTCAGCAGTTAAACATATTGAAAATGCAGAGAAACCTCCCAATTATTTCCCCTTGAAACTGTACCAATCCGCTGTAACTGTTGTGGGGGAAGGGAACAAGTCTTTGGAGTACAGTTTACAAGTAGATGCAAAGTTGGATTACTTGCTATGTCTCCACTTTGCAGAGATTGATCTGAGTATATACCGGAAAGGGCAGAGGGTGTTTGATGTTGAGGTGAATGGAGAGAATGTGAGCAGAGTGGATATCTATGATAAGGTCGGCGATTTTGCTGCATACGATTGGTTTCATGTGGTCAAGAATTTGAGTAGTACTACTCTGACCGTGAAGCTTGTGTCTGTGGTGGGTGCGCCCATCATTTGTGGGCTGGAAAATTATGCCATTGTGCTGACCGATCTTAAAACCGTTCCTGATCAAGGTACTCGTACCACTATATGGATGTATTTCGTTATAGGAAGTTTTCATTCCGGCATGTCAACTATCTTGAGCATTCATTGTTAATATGTTACTGGATTGTTGTGTGTGCTACATATGGGACTGATGTAGCATACATGGATTGCTGGAAGATTAGATGCTAAATTTTAGTTGTCTTAAATTGACTAGTTCATGTGTCTATTATGAATTTGCTATTGAAAATTTGGCCTAAATACACTTATTCTTCTTCTCTCCAGTTGCTGCCATGAAAGCTTTGAAAGAATCCCTTCGTATACCTGATAGAATGGGTTGGAATGGTGACCCCTGTGCCCCTACTACATGGGATGCTTGGGAGGGTGTCACTTGTCATCAGCCTAAAAATGAATCTGCACTTGTGATATCCCAAATGTAAGCGATTCTTTTCTCTCAGTAATGATGATTATATTCTATCCATGGGGGAGTATGGAATGTTAGGACATGTTTGGACTCCTTTGCTGTTTTGCCCTGCATAAAAGTTTGTTTTTTATTGCTTGCATAAAAGCTTTTACTCTCTTGGATTGGCAAGAGAGAATTTTGTTGATGACTGAACACGATTCTTCTCTAGGTTCATGTAGCCGACCATAAATTACTTGAGATAATGGCACATAATGCATAGTTGTTTGTTGTGTGAGATTTTGATGGGCAAAGTTTAGATGTAGGATTTGTGGAACATTGAACATTGTGTGTGTTTTTGTTATGATGGTTAAGTACGATGTACTCTCTAATAGTCCTCTCATTGTTCTACTGCCTCCTTTTAACTCCAATTCCAAAACGATCAAGTGGACCAACTTGTGGGAGTTATATTCCATGTGACTTTAGGCCACTGGAAGCTAATCTGACATTTTGTAAGGGAAGGGAGTAGCTGTGGTTTGTGTAAATATTGAATAACAACTCACCTTCACATCCACTTAAAAGTTACGGAGTATACTTTTGTCTTTATATGTCATACTATATATGTAAATTACCAACTAGTATTACAAAGCAACAACTAGCAACAAAAAACTAACAGAGTAACTAAGTACTCCGTACTTCATAGGAATTTTAAAAAAATCTTACTCTGTATTTGGGTTATTTAGAAGGACAGCCAAAGGCAATTATGGAGTAATAAAAACCAAGGGAAATGGTGAAAATGGGAGACTTTTTCGTCATTTAGATGTTAGGCTTCACACCAGAGAAGGAATGCATGGCGAGGCTCCCCTATGTCCAAAAAGAGTGCGCCTCTTGTAAGCATTGCCTTTTGGAAGGAAAATAACCCTGAGATCGGTTTACTCCTTTTTCGAATATTCACGTTAGTGATGTTTATTTTCGGGAAGTGGACAGAACATTGAAATGGGCTGAAAAGTAAGACAGGTAAAATGTGACGTAGGGAGTACTTAGTTTTACTTTGAAACTAATTCTCAAACAGGGCCTGCACGCTGATCAATTCAAAGCATGCTTTTATTTGACTTTTGTGCAACTAAGTAAGATTGGCAAGGGAGGGAGGGAGGTGACATAATTGTGAAATGGAGTTCACCCCTACTTGGTGCATCCACAATTTCTTTTAAGTTTTTTTAAATCTCTACCAGAGGTCAATGATCTGTTGTTCGCGAATACATGGACTAATACTTTTTTTATTTATCAGAATGAGCTAGTAATTATTAACTTTATTCATTCAACCAAGTTTTGTGATCATAGCTGCAGAGTCCCAATCAGGAGTCCTATTGTTTAATCAATTGGATCATCTTTTAACCAGACACTTTCTGGTCCCATAGAAATTTGTTTTAAGAATTTTCTTCACACAAAATATCCCACTGATTGCTGCTTTATTTTCTCAGAGATCTTGGAAGCCAAGGCTTGAAGGGTTTTATAAGTCCTGAAATTAGTCTTCTGACTAATTTGGTAAGCCTGTAAGTATCACTTTTCCTTAGTTATTAAGTGTCATATTCATACTAGTTCCTGATTGAGTTGTAATGACAGTCCTTTTTTTCAAGTTTTTAAATGTTGATTTTGACCATGTGGTCATTAAACAACTTATACTCTGCTAGAGCTTCTATGCACCAGGCTTCCCATTCAATTGACAATTCTTTTATTCCCATATGTCCTACATTTTCCATTTTGTAAAAAAAGGAGCAATCTAGCTCCACCCTCTCCGTCACAGCCTGCTTATGCGGCATGTACAATCGCCATTTTCCATTAATTCCTCGATCATGTTTCCAAAGTTCTTATATAAACACCAGGCATGTACCCCCATTCTTAAATTCTCAAATTAGTCTCCAAACCAAATGAGGTGATCAAATCTCATCCTTGATCTGAAACTTCTTCCAGGCTTGAAGTCCCCTTGCAATTCAAAAGTTGAACAAAGTGAGCCCCACGTCCCTAATATCTTCTCTACAATTCTAAATCTGATGTGCTCCATTGATACTCTACAAACAAATTAAGGTTTTTCTCATTATCTAAAGACCATCTTTCCCATCAAATGAGGGAGGAGAATAAGACCCATAGGTGACTGGTGGCTGTAGTGTTCACTCGTGCATCTTTTGGATTCAGAATTAGCATTAAACATTTATGTTAATTCTTTAAGAGAAGTTTGGAATGAGTGAATGAGCCAGGCAATACTTATTGCTCCATTTGTTCCAAAAACAGTCTCGTTGAGTAAAGTACAACCCTTTATTTTATTTTATTTACTTTAAAGTACAACCTTTTCCTTTTAGAAAACTCAATCAAGGTTCAAGCTTGTACAAGTTATGAATGATCACTTTTATCCCCAAAAGTTATTTCCAAGATTGTTTGGAGCAATTGACTAAAACAACATGCTGCCGGGCTTTACTGGAATTTGCTTGAAAACAAAAGCAACTTTATAAATCACTCTTTTTTATCTTTGGGCCGTAGATAGTACTATATAAATTATAAACATATCAACTATTGCTTTACCTGACGTGTGTATCATTAATCATTCTGTGGTTCATTCTTGGTCTAGAGGTTTTGTTTTCCTTTATAAGTATTTTTTGTATGTTGCTCTGTTATTGATCCGAACTAAAACTTTTCTAATGTGCAGGAATTTAAGTTCTAATTCGTTGGAAGGTACTCTTCCATGGGGTGTTGGCCAAAAATCTCTGGTGAAGCTGTAAGATAACATACTTTTTCTGTTTGTGCTTTCTTGGTTAAAGTTTCTTTTTCTTTGTTAGTAATGTTCAAAGCATAGACTAAACTAAAGTTACTAAACCAAGCATATCGAATATAGTTTAGGGAGTGTGAGATGTACATAGACCTTACCTCTACAGTCAGGATGCCTAGGACTTCTAAGAGTAGAGAGGTTGTAATTTGGAAGACTCGTTGTGGAATATTTTGGAACTTCTAAAAGTTAGTTATAAATTCAAAAGTCTAGAGGATTTTTGGAAATGTTAAAGATTTTTGTACATCCTTTGAAGTGGAAAGAAGACATTTGGCGGTAAAAGGTGGTAAGAACTGTGTGTTTAAAATCTATTTGGGATATAAAGGCAAACAATAAAACCATTTTATGTCTCTTTGAGGAGGTAAGTACTTTATGGTATTAGAGTACTACACTACTACTATTAGCTAACACCCACAAGATGCACTCCTAACAACCGAGCCAAGAAAGCCTAAACCTCCTAATAGTTGCTTCCAAACCTGTGAGGATCTGCTCTTAATCCTTGTTCTAGGGTGGACCTAAGGTCCACCATGGACCTTCATATGAACAAAATAAGCATTTCCTTACTACTTAAATTAGCATTTGTTTTTTTAAATAAAAAAGATTTTTTTAGGTGAGAAGGTCCACAAAAATGATGTGCACCCGAGGTTCACCAAAGAAGCACTCTACAAATTAATGTAATTTTATATATTACTATGTAACATTTCAGAGTTATATTTAATTGATACAATTCTTTATTATACTCATTAGATTTCCCTAGAAAAGCTATTCTTGAAGTTGAATAGAACAACTATTAATCTTTTGCTCATACCTTGTTGACAAATCCATGTGTGCTCTGTTCAAGAAATTTCCTATGTTTCATCATTCAAACCATTGACCAGCAGATACAATTCTTTATTATACTCAAGACATTGCATTGATTGAGTTTTTGTGCTCAAGATCTATATACTAGCTACTGTTTTTTGTGGGATGTGGGAAGGCATTATATTCCAGTAACATCTTTTTCATTGTCAAATTTATGCAAATGAGGTGTTGACAAAAAGTTCAGTTAGTCATCTTGGATATGTGGATAGCTTACTTGGGCCCTTAATGATGATATACTTCTTAGTTTGTATGCTATTGTAATTTATTAAAGAACAAAGACATTAATGCCCTACTTTATGAGCATAAACCAATAAAATAGGGGCTATGTTGGAAATTCAACAACAAAAATTGGCAATCTTAAATGTGTGCTATTCGAAGTGAGAACTCTTTTGACCAAAACCCTATTAAAAAAGAAGGCTTAATTGTGGGACAAAGAGTACTTTTGTGTACTATTTGGGAAGAACCTCATATAGGTATTCTCAATTACTTTCATCACAAATACTTTATATTGTTTATTTGTTTTGCAATGACCACTAAGCATCTATTCCTCAATTGTTCGTCTTTTTTTAATGCATTAAGTATCAAAACTGTTATTCCTCATTTGTTCTTTATGTGCAGGGATTTGTCAAATAACAAGTTGACTGGAGACATACCTTATAGTCTTGTTGCTTCTAGTTTGCAACTCATGTAAGTCTTTTCCATTATTATGATTGTTATAAGGTCTTTACATTGTTACTCAATAGTCAATACTCACCATACACAAAAATTGTTTATAGTGTATCTTGCACTAATGTTGTTTCTATTATTTTAATTTGCTTAGGTTAAACTCAACTTTTTGGCAAATTATATATGAATGAACCTTGTTAAACACATGTGCCTATAAATCACAAACTTATAAAATTTTTTAGGGTATCAATGAATCATACATGTGTATATGTAGGTTTTCATTAGTTTGAATGATGATTATTTATCTTATGTGCCTTCTTGAATTTTATCCTTGCCCAGGTTGTTAAATGGAAATTTACTAGAAGGACGAGTCCCACACGAACTTTATTCAATTGGGGTTCACGGTGGAGCTATTGAGTATGTCATACCCTCATCGCTTTCTTTTCCCACCATCATATGTTATACAATTATATGTTATTTCCTTTTCTTTTATGTGTTGATATTATACTACTATTGAAATGTTGATCCTTCACTACTGATGTGATAATGAACTCCTCTTTTGCAGTCTTTCTGATAATAAAGGGCTATGTGGTGTGCCTTCTTTGCCAAATTGTTCTATTTTTTGGGATACACATGGTCTATCTATCGCGGGTAAAGTTGGTATCGCCATTGTATCTCTGGTAACCTTATTGCTTGTGTTGTATTTGGCTTATTGGTTCTACAAGAGGAGGCAGAATGATTATGACTTTGCTCTACCACATGAGCTTTTGTGTAAGTGGTTCTTATTCAATTGCAATTCTCGTATATTACCCATGCCCTCCTACTTGTTTTTGTCTGTTATATTTCTAAACAAAGTCGTCTTTTTTTTGTATTTGGTTCAAGGAATTCGGAAGAAAATAAAAGAAAATGGTTGACTCATTTTCCTCACTAAAATAGGAGAAATTTTGTTTTCCCTCTTGATACATTATTTTCTTTTTCTTCCACTTTTCTTTTCTTTTCCTCTCAACTAGACAAGAAAAATTATTTTCAGTTTCATTTTCTTTTCTTTTCCCTTTCAAATTCCTTGGACCAAACATAGTATTAGTATGCCAACCATTACCATTAGCTACTCTAACCACCTATTACAAGGACAAACTTGGAAGTCAAATGGCCAAAAACACTTATTTTAAAACTTCACTCTACAATGGCAATTTCCAACTTTTGGTTAAAAAAGATGTCTACATGGTAATTAAAAACATTACGAGCTATGGGGATGCAGGAAAAATGTAGTATAGAAACTATATATGGTTGTCCATGGAACTCAATTTTATTAACCAAAAAATAAATACAGTTTTTCTTTTGTGGCATTTACGTAATATATTTGATGATTGAAGTAAAAGTTGGTAGTACTTTGTTTTTCCCCAAAAAAAGGGTAGTGCCTGTAAATTTAAGTACAAGTTTGTGCTTAATCAAATCTGAGTGTTTGTAAACCAAAAATGATTAAATGCTTAACATATGGGTGAAAAACATAAATAGTCATGAACATCAAAGTGTCAAAAAGATATGCATGGACAACACAAAAATCAAACTAGGTATGAACATGTTTTTGGCTAATGGGTTAAGTGGCTCAAAAAAGCGCTTGTTAAAGCCACTTATATGTTCACCAATGACCAAACACTAAAATTGTATAAGTTTAAAATTAGCAGAAAATGATTATTTTTTAAACACTCTTGGTCCTTGGCACAATATTGGTAATGAAAATAAGTACTCGTAATATGTTGTCCTCTTTCCAAAAGCGGGCAATCGGTCTTATCATTTCAAACGAGTAAAATAGACCGAGGAAGGTTAGGATCACATAGGCGCTCTAGAGGAAGTGGGAGTGTGGGACAGAGGAAGCATTATATACCACCAAGTAAGACACATATTAAAGTAAACAATGTAACTTATCATTTACTTTAAAGCTATTCACTTAAAAATGGTTAAACTCTGATCCCAATATGAAGAGTTGATGCATTATTTTTACTCTTAGTAATACATTTACAATATATAGTAGAATAAATCAATATGGAGATTCCTGGAATAGTCAAAAGTGGGTCTAGTGGTCATTGAAGATAAAGGAAAACTGATTACGTCTATAATCGAGAAACAAGTGCCCTTGTATGGGGACTGATCGAGGAGTTGAGTCTTTGAATGCTGAAGACTGGAAAGTTGAAAGTGAAAAAGAGTTATGGTAGGCAGAAGATAACATAGATTGAAGGTGTAAAACTAGACATTTGAGTATTTATGGCATGATGAAAGTTTGGTACATGATTTAAAAGAGTTGAAATGAGCATCTCATGAGATTCTCTATCGGTCCATGTAGTAGGCCTCAATAATTAGGGTTTAAGGCTTGGCTGTTTAAAATCTCACACGTTCCATGCTCATCCTTGATTGCGACGGGGACGAGGGTAGTGACTAATAAGTTTGTGGTGCGACAATCTTATTGGCCATGTTCTTGTCAATTGTCATAATGCATGTCATTTCATGATAGCATGCATGTGTATTGTTTTTGGGGTGCAGAAAGTGAAATGATATATGTAAGAAGAGAGCAATAAAAAAATTCAAGAGATAAGTAAAAGCTGATCACACCAAGAATCAATCTGTCACAAAAGTTGCAGAAACTGAACCAAAATAAAATAGAACAAGCTTATAACTTTTTGCTGCTGCTACGACTTCCATCCTCTGCAGTCGCAGTCCATAGAATATTTCAAAAACTAATTACGGCTAGAGAATAATAATAATAATAATAATAATAATAATTACTATTATTATTATATTGATACTCAGTACCAAGGGATAAGACACAAGAAAAGATCAGATTTGGAGTATTTGTGTGATGCATAAATGCATGAATGTCATCACAAATAACCCAATTGTACCACCATATATATGTATGCACCTTTAAAACAAACTGCTACCAGCTGTGCTGGCACAACTGCTGGCATTCCCTTGACCTCTAAATCACAACCATTATTTTGCTTCTTTTCCCCCCTTTTTGTGTGCTTTTATTTTTTATCCTTGTTATTATTATATTACTATTTTTTAATACATGCGTTGCTCAATGAGACATCTAGGTTCTTAGCTTAGCGATTCAAATCAACCCTCTTAGATGGTGTTCCATAGTTGCTATATCTTGTAAAGGTGTACTTATATCTTATAAAGATATGATGTCCGCATTTAGTTGTCCACTTTCTTATTTGTGCTTGCCCAGAAATCCAGAATCAATTGTCCTTGTCCACTTTCCAAATTTAATAAAGAAATTCTGATGATTTGTCTAAAATATAGTATAGATAGGGTACGAGCATTATTGAAATGAATGAGTGGCTTAAACTCATTTGAAACACTTGTTTGACCATTTTAAACTCATTTCTTAAAAATGAGAATTCTTAGAAAGTGGACAAGAAATTCTGGATGGAAGGAGAAATAGTTTATGAACTTGTAGTACTTTGTTATTTGGTAAAAAGATATATGTTGTGGTTAATTAATGTACTTTATATCTTTGTCCTCTCATGGCCCTAGTAGTGTGGATTGGACACTAGGAGTTCATGTTCATGCATGCATGATGATGACTTGAATTGTTATTTGTTTCAATGTTTGTAACCACACCAATTAAAAACTGTTTTATTACCATCAAACTTCCCCTCTTTTACTCATGATGATCACTAACACATACAAGTACTGGTTACTTAGCATTCTTCCTTAGTGTTTTAGTTTTACTGCTTTGGATCTTAATTGATGATAACTGAACATGTAACAGCATTATCGGCAAAGCGGAACAGATACCAGAGGCAGAAGTCGTTGATGACTCTAGAGATGGAAAGCCAGCACGCCAAAGGATACATGCCTGCCTACAACAGGAGTTCCAGTTCATGATCGATCGATCAAACAAGATATATATATATATATATATATATATATATATATATATATATATATATATATATATATATATATATATATATGAATATAAACGTGTACACTACTACAACTACTACGTAGAAAGCAGACTGTAAAAACATTTATTTATATTATGACAGATCAGAGGAGGTTCAAAAGGAGTGGTGGGAGCTGAGGTTAGAGAGAGGTTAAATTTGAGAGGCTTTTAGTTGGCAGGCATATTTCCACTCCAGCAGCAAATTTTGTACTGAAAAAAAAGGGGGGGAATGGGGTCGGGGGAGAAGTCACTTAGTGTTGCATGCATGTGGAATACAAATGTATGGGTGTCCTTTCCTTTTTTTCTTTTTTTTAAAAAAAAACTAAACTAACCTTTGATGTATGTGATAAGGCAAATGATAGATTAGATGTATCAATCAAACTGTAATTTTAGATTTCCATTGTTTGTTTCCACTTTAGTTTCCACTCATTATTACGGAGTATGAATTAAGCTATGTATTTGTATTCCAAAAACTTATATCCTAAATTTTACACCACAGGTATGCTCTTTTATTTTGTACCAATGTGATGTTAGGGTGATGGTTAAGACAGTTACAAAATGCTAGTGCAAATTTTTTTTATTGCATTAGCATATTATGTCAGTATAAATCATCGAAATCTTAGTACATAATGTTGGTGTACACTTTGGGGTACATTCCATAGGGTACTTCATGGTTCTATTATTATTATTATTATTATTATTATTATTATTATTATTATTATTATTATTTTGCATATTGTTCAAAACAGAAAGTTTATTATTGGACGGATGGAGCATCTCTTTGCACTTAATATGTTCTTTGCTTCTTTGTCGTATTGTGCGCTTTTTATGTTGGTGTGATGGAGATTTCTGGAAAACAGTCTCTTTAGTTTTATGTATGGGTAAAGTCTTCATACACACCTCCTTCAGAAAAAACCAACCAACATCTATCCAATGTTTTCTAAACACCCCTCCGAGTCTCATTTGCTTTGGTTTTTCTTATTTAGGTTAAATGTGAAAGCATAACTTGACTAGTTCTTTTTTTTGGTGCAACATAACTTGACTAGTATATGCCCAAAACAAATAAGGGGATAATAAAAGCATCAATAATAGTAACAATAACAATAACATTAATAGTAATAATAATAATAATAATAATAATAATAATAAGATGCAAGTTGAAGTGATGATAATAAAATTGATGAGGAGGAGCCAGGAGGTGGTGGAGTCATAGTCATAGACGTGTAAAGTTAATTTCCTTACAAATCTCATCTGTTCAAATTTCGGCCTCCCACCTGCCCTGCTGCTAGCTATTGTATGAACACAACCACATTATTTAAACCACACTTTTATTTAGGGTCCCTTTACAAAGATAGAAATTGACTTTACTGAAATAATTTATTTATTTAGTTTTTATCAGTTTTAAATTTGCAGCAAGTTTAGAAAATGAAAAGTGAAATTTCCACTAAAAGATTCTAAAATATACTCTCTCTGTCTCACAAAATCTTTCTCTTTTCTTATTTCTATTCGTCCCAAAAAACTGTTCTCATTGTTATTTAAAAGTTACTTTTACCCTTACTAATTCTTAACCTACCTATCACATTTTTTCACTACTAATCTACCTATCGCATCTACTTTTACCTATCACATCCAAGAGCATTTTTGGAAAGTCAACACTAAAATACGCTCCTTTTAAATTTCTTAAAAATCAAAACAAGAGATGTTTTATGGGACAAAGAGAGTATGTCTTTTCCTAATGTAATATCTAAATAATTTTATTTCCAAAATAATACTTGAACAACAACAGGAACAATACATGTGTAGTAGCGGTAGATCTTTATTTGAGTAATGTCCAGTGGTACTACCTACGTACATTGAAAAAAGTAAAAAATATAGTACAAATCTAATAAGCAACAAAAATAATGGCATAAATACACATGAATTTAGGGGTAATTGCTAGATTAGGAAATAAAACGCACATACTCTAACTTTGTGTTTCCCATAATGACTCATCATTTAAATTGGTATGTACGTCTTAATTTGAAACCTCCAATGGGGAATTAATCAACGTTTAGTTTGTGACTAAATGAAAGAGAACACAACAGACATGTAACAGTAACATATTCATTTGGCTCTTTATTGGACCAAACAAACAAAGTTCAATTCATAGTTTACTTCCTTTAGTGGTCATTTTTCATTCGACAGTGACATGATGATATTCTTGATGAAAATGATAACTCCAATCAAGTACTGTACAATAAACACACACCCACTCTCTCCCCCCTCTCTCTCTCACATACTATACCTAACATCTCCAATTCCTTGTACAGTAAAAAGTCAAAATTAGGTACTCCATCCGTTTCTTTAAACGCAAGCGGAAAGATTTTTATGGAACGGAGGGAGTAGATATTTTGAGAAGGAAGTAATATTCCGTAAAATTATTGGACGGTCCGGTATTGGGCGTACGTTGTGAAAAGAAAAGAAGAAAGCTTTTTTTTTAATTGATGACAAAGAAAAATGATTTTTTTTAAATGAAACAAAGGGAATATTTTGCTCTTCGTATCCTTTTTCGAAAACGAGAAAATTACTAGGAGTACTATGAAAAAAGAACTTTAATTTACAAAAAGTGAAATGGGATGGTAAATAATTGTTATTGTAATGGATCAGTCCTCCGACACCTGAAATGTTGATCCATGTTACTTTCGTACATTCACATATATATCTTTATTTATTCATGCACCAACTTAATTACTAGGAGAGTAGGAGTTCGTGCATTAACAAAACCCTAATTTTCTCTTTCAATTTTTTAACTTTCACTTATATATTTTTTTTATTAGAATAATTGATATACTCATATAAAGTCATTGCAATAAACTTCATACATTCTGTATTAATATAATAAGTTTTCTAAGTGATTTATCTCTCTTTTTCGATGCTGATTATTAAAATTAATCCTGTAAAAGTCAATAGATAAACTATTTTAGTCCAATTAAATTGCATGTTTACTATCACATGATCAAACTTCATTCATTTTCTTTTTCTATTTTCCTAAGTCATTTGATAAAATAATATAGTCATGTCACTACTAAATTTTTAGTTCTTTTGATCTAATTTTTATTTTTTTTAATTCTACCCATACCATTTTTCAAATAAAATAATTTAGAAATAATTTTAGTAAAATATCGTAAATCAAAACAAACAATTTAAATTGATACGAAGAGAGTAACAACCAAGTACTTACTCCATAATTTTAAAAATAACTTATCAATGTTTAAGTAATAACAAAATATATATATTATGCCGACGTATCTCCGGCCCAGCCCGCATATCGGGACTATAATTATATCCTAGCCCGGCCCATGTGAATATGCACGGATATCAGGCCGGACCGGCCCGCATTAATAATAAATTGCGAACATATAAAAAAACTTTTTTAACACTATTTCGAAAAAACGTAAACTTTAAACATTAATATATTCAGTGTGTAAATTTCAGCTAACAAAAAATGGTACGGTGTGTGTGTGTGTCTATATATATATATATATATATATATATATATATATATATATATATATATATATATATATATATATATATATATATATATATATATATATATATATA